CCCCACCCGCCAGTCCCTGAGAGGACCTTTGGCAATCAGAGAAGGCAGTGGGTTTACCAAGAAAAGGAGGAAGAAGAAAATGCAGGCAGAAGGCAAGAGGCGCATGGCATGGGTGAATCAACACCCAGTGGGCGGTGGGTGCCTAGAAACCAGACTCTGTGGAGCGGCTGACAGAAGAGGGGGTCCACAGTCCTGGAGGAGGGCCGAAGTCAAAAGGACCCGAGCAGAGAGAGGAGGGGTCCATGAGCTCTGAGCACCGTGTGTGGCTGTTATCCACTCAGACCTCCGTAACTCCGCCCAGCAGCCCTGCAAGGCAGGTGTCCACACTCCCATTTAATGTAGCAAGACACAGAAGTTCAGAAAGGTACAGTGGCTCGCCCCAGGCCACACAGCATCAAAGTGGTGGAGCTCAGACGCAACCAATGTCGATGGCTCAGAAAAGGAGTTTAAGCGAAAGCCTTCGTCGTCGTGCCTGGATCCCAGTGTGGGCTCCCCTGCTCGTGACTGTGTGGCTTTGGGCGTGTCACACCTCCTTTCTAGGTCTCGGCTTCTCAACACAATGGGCAGGGCAACACTCCACCCTCATTCATTGTCGGGTGACATCTGTGAGCGGCACAGAGTCTGTCTCAGATCAGAGACGGGTACCATGAGGCTGGCAGTATGCACCCTGTTTGAACGTCCCCAGTACCGGGGAGCCCAGTCCCTTACAGAAGTGATTTTCCAGCCTTAAAACTTCTCCTTATTTTGAACTAAATAAAACCTGCCTTTCCCAGGACCATCCCAGGCCAGCGGTGCAGCCCTCACTACCTTCCGCTCCTCCTTTGCTGACCTTGCAGAGAGAACTCGGTCACTTGACACGCATTTACTGGGCTCCTACTGTGTGCCAAGCCTTGGTCTTGGCACTAGGGACACAGGAGTAAACAAGACCGAGAAAGTCTCTGATATCACGGGGCTGGTGTGCTATGGAGAAGAGACAGATACTAACCCTAAGAACCCTCAGGAAATACAACCCCAAGATCAGTATTCATTGGGGAAATCTAAAGACAAGAAGCATCCAAACAACAGAGAACATTTCGAATTTACTATTCTGATCACCCAATTTTTAAACGACGTCATTGTATGAATGAGATGATATTCCTTCTTGGCTCAAAACCTTTCTGTGGCTCCCAATGCCTTCAGGATCAAGTCTAGATGCTGTACATACAACCAGTAGGGTTCCAAGTGACCCACCCCCGTGGCCCTCTCTGATTTCACCCCCTTGCTGACTCCACTCAAGCCACACTGGGCTTCTCACTGCTCCCAGAATGTGCCAAGCTCTTTCAGTTCTCAGGGCCACCGAGAGCAGCAAGCTGTGCTCTCCATCTGAAGCCCAGCCTCTCCTCCAACTGGCCAACTCCTCCTCCAACAGTTGCCATTCTGCACCCCAGGGAGACGCATCTAGGTCCAGTCTTGCCTCTGTGTTTGGCACACTTGGCCTCCCTCCCCCTGCCCCTACGAAAATCCACGCAAAATGGAAAGAAAAATAGCCAGGAAAGAGCGTGAGTCATTTGTTTACAGGCTAATTAATTACTAAGCTCAAAAACTTGATTTCCATTCTTCCTTTTTTTCCCCTCTCTGCCCTTTGAGAATGTTTGGAATCCACATTGTTTCCCAACGCAAAAGTATGTCAAGTTTATTTTTAGCAAATGCACATGATGGCTGGGACTGTTATTCATCGCCCCCCCACCCCCACCCCGCATCAGTAGGGAGCCACTCCACGGAGCGTGCGGGCAGCTGAATGCTCGTCACATGTGGCTCCTGGGAGGCCAGCAGGTCTGCCATAGCCTCCACGGCCCTGGGCTCCTGGAGACCCGAGCCGGGTCCAGCACCGAGGGGCTGCGGAGAGACGTTCCCGGCTGCAGTTTCTCCTCCTGACCAGGGCTGGCGCTGTGGTGCTGGGGTGGGAGGAGCCATGTCTCCCAAGCTGGCTGAGCAAATGCCTTTTTCCTGGACTAGCACGTGGGGTAACTTGGGTGTTCCGGTGACTTGTCCCTCCACTTTTTGTCTTTTGAAAGGGAGTGGGAGAAGCCTGATTGATTCACCTTTGGTTCGCTCAGGATGGACAAGTCCTCCAATTCTGTCTAGCTGATACTCCTGTGCCTTCTCTGCCCACTTCCCCACCCAGCACCCTCACTCCCACCCTCCACGCCTGTCAGCCGACCCTGTCACCCGCCCTGCTCTCTAAGAGCCCAGATTGGGAAGTAGGGGCGGTCTTGTCCTGGGAGCGCTTCCAGCGGTTTCCTTCCAAGGTGGCTGCTTCCGCTTCCTGTCCCAAGATGGAGTCCAGCAGCTATGAAAAAGCTACTTGCAGCTACTTCAAGGGAATAAGAAAGGACCTGTCTCCAACAGATACGTTACCCAGCAATAAAGACGACATTATGGCCGTGGAGAGTGGAAGATTGTTACCTCTAGAAGGCGGGATGGTATCTATCACCTCTCGCAGTGTGTGTCCCTGGCTCTGGCATACAGTAAGCGCTCAGTAAAGACTTAGTAAAGGATTGTGACCTGAGTTCTGGGCTCACGGTGCAATAGTAGTTAGGTCACTCACTCTTCTGAGCCTCAGTATCCCATCTCGCAAATGGGTAACTGACCTCTAACCCTACAGCTGGGGTTGCAAACTCAGCTGCCACAAGAGTCAGGCAGGGACACAAAAGTGAAACAGGTTGGGGCAGCTGTGGCCACATAGACACAGGGCCCTTGGCGGCATCCACGCCTCGGCTCCAACACACAGCACTTACGAACCCGGGGTTCCTGGATCCTCTCGTTTCTCGAGGGAAGCCAGAAGTCTGGATGTTTCTGTGCAATATCCTTAATTTTCAGGGTTGGCAACTTGTTTTGACTTTCAGCAAAAGCACTGCACAGGCCAAACCCAACGCGCCTCGAGGCCGAGCAGGCCCATGGGCCACCAGTTTGAGCCCTTGGTGGTTAGCGCTCATGGTTCAGGAGACCTTGAACAGGCCTGTCCCGCCCAAGCCTGGGACAGGGCTTTGGGATGCAGGAGGCGGTGGAAGCCTCACCCCGTGTGGGAGCAGCTATTATCCCTGCTTATGGGAGGGCTGGGCTAGACTCGTTGAAGCCGGGGCTGTGGGCATTGCCTGCAGAGCTCTGCCTTCCACTTAATTAAGGAAGCCGATAATAATCTAGGTGGAGCGTGGAGATAGGTCGAGAATGAGTTAGCAAACTACAGTCGGTTGATTGTATCTATTGTAAAAAGCCCAGATATAATATCAGATTAGTACAGTTTGTGTGCCGTTTATAATACTGTGTCATTATGGGACGTGTTATAATTAAGGCCCCAGCGGGCCCCCTTCTCTTCCTGACTTTGCAGGTCCGGGCACCGTGTCTCCGCTTAACTCCTTCCCGGCCAGTGGGCTCTGCCCATGGGGTTTGTAACACAAATCTGGATCAGCCAGGCCCTGACACATCCCGCAGGGTGCCAGACTCCTTGCTGGGCACTGGTGGGCAGCAGGAGAACCAAGGCAGCCGTGGGTCTGTTCTCACAGAGCTCCGAGGCTGGGGGGAGGAGGGCTGGGGGTGGACATAGACACAAACAAAGCAAATCAAGTTCACGGTGAGCGCTGTCAGGGAGCTAGGGAGAGGGCAGTCAAGGGACCATCTGACAGGCTGGCCAGGGAAGCGTCTCCAGATACAAGCTGAAGAGGGCAAAGCATGTTCACTGGCCCTGGTGAGGTTCACTGAGGCATAACCTAGGCCGACGTGGCCCTTCTTGCACACCCGTGCTCTGATTTGTGGAGCACCTATGGTGTGCCAGGAGCTTCCCAAGCGGCTCAGTGGGAGACAGTCTGCCCGCCAGTGCAGGAGATGCAGGAGAAGCAGGTTCAATCCCTGAATTGGGAAGATGCCCTGGAGGAGGAAATGGCAACCCACCCTGCTATTCTTGCCTGGAGAAGGAGGACAGGAGGAGACACGGACAGAGGAACCTGGTGGGCTACAGTCCATGGGGTCACAAAAAGTCAGACATGACTGAGCATGCACGCACACACACGCTATGGGCCAGGCCTGGACTGAGCACCAGAGAAGGACTGTGAACAGAACAGACAACAGTCCCTGCCCTGAGGAAGGAGACACATATTAAACAAATAAACAAATACATAATGTGATGGTGAGTCAGGAAGAAAGAAGGGCTGAGGGTGATACTGGGGGTGACACTTCAGCAGGGTAGCCGGGAAAGGAGTCCTGGAGGCAGTGACATTGAGATGAGATCTGAATGACCCGTGGGATCCAGCTATGCGACACAGCTGGGGGAAGAGCATTCCAGACACATGGAACAGCATGTGCAAAGCCCTGGGGTTAGATCACACCTGGTGTGTTGGAGAGATCGCAAGGAGGCAGTTGGACTGGAGAAAAGTGAGTTAGGAAGAGAGAGTGGTGATGAGGAGGTCAGAAGGGCGGTGGGGCCAGACGAAGCATGTCCCTGAGGGCCTTGGGAAGACTTTGGCTTGTGTTCTCGATGTGAGCCACTGGGGGTCCTAAGCAGAAGGGCAAGATCTGACTTAGGACCCACCTGGGTTTAGCAGGATCCTTTGGGCTGTGTGGAGAATGGTGAGATCAGCAGGGAGGTTCTTTGAATCCAGGTGTGGACGTGAAGGGCAGCCTGGCTGGGTCTGTGTATGTCAAGGGTAGGGCTGAGAGAATCTCCGACCACGCACTGGATGCAGGACAAGAGATGAATTGAGAGACCCCAGGGTTTGAGCCTGAGCACCTGGAAGGGTGGGGCTGTCATTTCCTGAGCGTGGAGAGCTGTGGGCGGGCCCAGTGCCCAGATCTGCCCTCTGCCCTCTCCCTGAAAGCCCCCTGCTGGCCCCTAGCCCACCCCAGCCTCTGCGGGGTCAGGGCATGGAGGGAGACAGTGAGCACTTGGCCCCACCCAGGCCTCCAGGCAGGAAAGGGGCGCCCAGGGCCTGGCCGCAGGGTGACACAACAGTTAATAATTTTGCCACTGAATTTTGCAATGGGCACTCTTTATCGACTGCTAAAGCGAGTGGGATTTTGCAACCATCCCAACGGGTGATATGGCTAATGCCAGGCCAGAGGGACATGGGACCAAGCCATGGGCATCTCCTTGACCCACAGGGACTGACGCTCCAACAGGCCGTCCAGGGCTGAGCCATCATGGCGCCATGAAGGGCTGGCAGTGAGCTCTGACCTCTGGGTCACGAGATTCCAATCTCAGCTCGTCCACTTGGCCAGGGACCTTGGGCAAGTCACCTCCCCCCTCTCTGGACCTCAGCTCTTCCTCTGTAACAAGGAGAGCAATTAAAGGGATTGTTTTCAAATTACTTTAAGAGTATTACCCAACCTACCATTTAACCTTTATTGAACATTGACTGTGTACCAGGACCCATGCTTAGGTGCTTTCTCTACATCATCTCATTTAATCCTCCTGTCTTTTAAATCTTTTAAACTGCTGTTTTCCTGTTTTACAAATGGGGAAACTGAGGCTGAAAGAGAGGGGTCCCAGGTCAGCCAGCCTGTGAGGAGCAGGGACTCAGACCCAGGCCTGTCTGAGTCCAAACCGCAGCTCCGTCTTGGGAAGTCACTGCGGGTCTCTGAGGCTGTTTCCTCATCTGCACACTAGGAAGCACAGAATGAAGAGAATCAAGCAGCATCGCCCTCAGAGGGTTGGTGTCCAGTACTTGGGCCGCCCTGAGAACACAGGGGCCATTGGCATTATCACCAGGATTGCTGCTGCAGCCAGCACCACCCATCAGGGTGCCCAGCAGCTGGGATGCCCCTCCTTCCTGCTCCATTCAGCCCTGCAGGGCACAGACAGGGCACAGGCTTTAGGATCATGGCCAAATCCCTCCTGCCCTCCCGCTGTGACCCTGGGCACATCACCCCTGTCCCCTGGGGCAACAATTCCCAACCATTCCAGCCATTTACAAGCCAAAGGAGGCCACTGAGGCAAGGATAATCCTGGTGTGCTGGGCCTGCCAAGCAGTCCTATGGAAAGGGGTCGTTTACCCCATCAGCAGAGGGGGACACCAAGGCTCAGGCTGGCACATGACTTGCCCAGGACAGCAGTCCAAGCAGAAAGGGGCAGAGATGCTGCTCCACCATGACAGGGCCTCTGCCTGCTGAGGCGCTGATGCAGAAGCTTTCCTGCGAAGTCTCTCTCTGTTTCTCTCCTTCTGTATCTCCCTGCCTTTCTCTTCCCTCAGTGTCTCTGTCTCTCCCCATGTCTCTGTCTCTCCCCCATGTCTCCCTGTCTCTCCCTCTCTCTATCTCTCCCCGTGTCTCTGTCTCTCCCCGTGTCTCTGTCTCTCCCCCGTGTCTCTGTCTCTCCCCATCTCTCTGTATCTCTGTCTCTCCCCCGTCTCTCTGTCTCTCTCTCTCTGTCTCTCCCCCATCTCTCTGTATCTCTGTCTCTCCCCGTCTCTCTGTATCTCTGTCTCTCTGTCTCTCTCTCTCTCCCCGTCTCTCTGTCTCTCTGTCTCTCTCTCTCTCCCCGTCTCTCTGTCTCTCCCCGTCTCTCTGTCTCTCCCCCATCTCTCTGTATCTCTGTCTCTCTGTCTCTCCCCGTCTCTCTGTCTCTCTGTCTCTCTGTCTCTCCCCGTCTCTCCATCTCTCCCTCCGTGTCTCCACCTCTCTGTCGTTTCTCTCTGGCCCTCCCTCAGGATCTCTGGCCCAGGCTCCCTCTTCCCCTACATTCCCTCTGGGCCTGCCCACCTCCGCTCCATTCCTGGCTCTATCAGTATTTACTGAGGTGAAGGCGTCTGGCCGCCTAATTTGCCTGACACCGTCACCCAGCCATACAGTTCCGCTCACAGCCACCACCCAAGGGTTCCCTAGAGAGGGAAGGCAGGGTGGGGGGACCCACAGCCTCAGTGATGCTCAAAATGCCCCAGTTCAGGGTCCACAGCTCTGGGCCCAGACCAGGGCCCAGCTGGATTCTCTCTTCTAAGGCAAGGGCAGACTCTGCCCACAGTGCCCTGGGGGGCGAATGCTGATTGGCTCAAGCCAAACATGGCCCTCTCTCTCCCTTTGCAGTGATTGGCTGAGATTAGACGTGGAGTGTATCTGTGGCCAGTGAGATGCGGAATTCTGCCAAGGGACTTCTGGGAACAGTTTCTTCATTCTTAAGAGGACACATGAAGGCCTTTGCCTGCCTTGACCATAGCCACATGAGGAAGAGATGGCAGGAGATTAGGCAGCCATCATGGAGCTATAAGGAACTGGGCTGAGAAGAGAGGACAAACCCACGAGGTGGGAAGAACCTGCGCCCTCAGTGATGCCCAGCCCACCCCAACCTCCAGCTCACCAAACCATTGTTCATTCACTCATTTGACAAAACCTTTATGTTACACCTAGTGTGTGTCAAGCCCCATGATGGGCACTGGGAATAGAGCGGGAAACAGAATTGACACGGTTCCTGCCTTGCATTCTGGAGTAGGGAACAGACCTCCATTGACTGAGCAAGTGTAACCGTATGTCCATAATGATGGCTGCAAGGGGAGATCCACAGAGACGAGACCAGCGGAGGTGGGGTGGGGGGAGCGGGGAGGAAAGCACTCTAGCAGTGAGCATGAGAGGGAGCGTGGCAGGAGGAGCCTGGGGGGAACGTCAAGCAGCACCTTCGGGTCGTGATTAGGAGCTTAATCCTTATTCTGAGGGCAGTGGGAACCACGGGAGACTGCTGGGCAAAGTTGCTGCACGGAGATCCTGTGTACATTTCCTAAGGCCCCATCGGGCAGCACGTGGAGAGGAGATGTAGGGGTGAGGCCTGGAGCAGGAGAGCAATCATCCAGGCCTGAATGGTGCTGGCATGGGGAACCCTGAGCAGGGGGGCCGGAAAAGGCAAACTTCAGGAGGTGGCAGTAATGGTCCTTATCGATTGCTTCCCACCGGCAGGCATGGTTCCAAGCGCTTCACAGACAGTATCCCATGTAAGCACATCCCTGTGAAGTGGGAACTACGGTCCCTGCTTCACAAGGAGGAAACTGAGACCATCATGGGATCAGTGCCCAAGAAATAGCTCAGACCCTCACTTGCCAACACTTTCTGCCCCCACGTCAATGGGACTCAGGACACTGTAAACCTTGGGCATCCAGGGCTCCTTTGGGCTGTCAGTCACCCTGGACTCTCCCCGCCCCCATGGGGGACACATGGGGATCTCGTCATGTGTCCCCCCTTTCCTATTCCACTCTCCTTGAGAAGTCACTGCTATCACATCCAAGGTCTCCCAGCCATAGACCCCATTTCCCCCACGCCCCTCACTCTTCTACAGGGCAGGGCCCCACCCCCCGTGACTTGGCAGCCCAGCGGAGGGCAGGGACTTGCCCGAGGCCACCTAGCATGTCCTTGGTGCGGGGGCCTACAGCTGAGGTGAGGCCACCAGGGCCTGTGCTGTTATCTGCGGCCAGAGGCCAGAGGCCCAGTGGGATAGCTGGGGCCCCTGATACAGTGGCCTGTGGTCCCAGCCCCCTTGATGTCAGGCAGGCCAGGCACAGCCCAGAGATAATCAGGACCGGATTCTGGCCAGTGATTGATTACAACATCACAGCCAGGGCCGCCCACAGCTGTGAAGACTCAGAGTCAGGATCTGCTGAGGCTGGGACTGCAGGAGGGGCGGGGATGATGCAGGAGACCCAGGGGTTCCTCTCAGATCCCTTCCTAGGAGGAATCCACACAGCAGAAAATGTCCAGGCCACTTCTTGATGGTCACTGGCTGGCTCACGGTGGGACATAGTGGTGACCAGGCAGAGCGGGTGCCTGTCCTCAGAAAACTGACACATGCATGGAGGAAGCAGGCATCAGAGCTGGAGGCCCACTAAAAGGAAGGAAGAAGAGGGACTCCCCTGGTGTTCCTGTAATTAAGACTCCAAGCTTCCAATGCAGGGGGCATGGGTTCAATCCCTGGTTTCAGGGAACTAAGATGCCACACACTGTGTGGCTTGGCCAAAAGAGTAAAAAAAAAGAAGAAGAAAAGGAAGGAGAGGTGCAGGAGAGCCCTCCCAGTGAGGTGACTGAGCTGAGAGCTGAAGCATACACAGGACAGAGCTCTGGGAAGAAGATGAGGAAGAGAATCCTGGGAACATATGCAAAGGTCCTGTGGTGGGCCCAGTGTGGACTATGTGGGGTAAAAGCGTAGAAAGGGAGGGTCAGGGTGATGAGGCAGGACCAGAAACACATCAACAGGCACCTCTAGGCCAAGGTGAGGGGCTGCGATTTTAGTTTATGGGCCACTGGGAGCCACGGAAGGCTGCAGGCTGGGCTTAGATGTGCTCAGACTGGGAGTCCAGGGCATCAGATCTGCAGGATGGCCTGGAGGGGCCTGAGCAACTTCAGGTTCTCAGACTTGAGGCTCCAGGCCTCTGGGGCCCTCCTCGGTCCAATATTCAGGGCTCTGGCAGCCTGCAGGCAGAGGCCCAGTGGAGCCGACCCCAGGGACCCATGGCCCTCTGCCTGCCTGCCCCCACCTGGACCTCCCAGGGAACATTCCAGGCAGCGATTATCTCAGGTTCGAGCACTAATTAGCCCAGTTTCACCTCAGGCCTCCCCAGCTCTGCTCTGAGAGGGCCCCATGGAGAGGCAGCCTCCAGGTACAAGGTCCCAAGTGAAGGCTGGAGGGGCAAGAGAAGGGGGCCCCCAGAGCCGGTTACTAGGAACACACAGATCCGCAGCTGCAACCCCGAGGTGTGGAAACAGCCCTGCTGGCGATGCCTGCAGCAGGCTCCACCCCCGTGCCCACACCCTCCCGCCCCCAAGCACCCTCTACCTCGGGCAGCCCCAGGCTCCTGGCCGCCCCCACTCCCACCCCGAGATCCCCACTGTGTCTCTCCTGCTCTCTGCCCTCTCCCTCTCTGTCTCTCCCCGTCTCCTTGCCCTTTAGTCCCAGCTTAAAGCCCAGGCACTCTCCCCTTCCCCGCTGGTCTCCAGCCCGAAGCCCCAGGTTGCGGGTCCCAGTCCCTCGGGGGCACAGGGTGGGAGTGAGTGACGCTGAGAGGCCCCAGGCAAATGGAGTGAAGACCGTGTCTGCGCTGACTGCTCCAACCCTGCCGGTTTTTCCAGCTCAGCTCCACCCTGCACGGGGCCACCCCCTCCCAGGGACCCACCCTCCTTAGGCCAAGTGGGGCCTGGCCAGGAGCATCCTGGAAAACAGAAGGGGAGGCAGGACCAGCTCACCTGGGCCCTCCAGCCAGCCCAGGCTAGGGCTGGAAACTTACAACCCTATGAGCACGTGGGGGAAACTGAGACCCAGACAGGGCTTAGGGCCACACAGCTGAATAGGGTCAGACTTTGAACCCAGGACCCAGGAAGGGGTGCAGATATAAACAAAGGTCCCCCTCTTGCTCCTGACCCCCGGGTCTCCTTCCCCAGAGGTCACCCTGGTCCCAGGTTCTTGTGTGTCCTTCCAGAATCACCCAGGCATATCCATATGTCTCTTCTTTTATGAATGTTTTAACACAAGTGGTGGAACAACAGGCACTGTTCTGCACCTGCTTTTTCCCTTAGCCGTATCTTGGAGATCTTGTCTTATCAAAGCCTTCTTCCTTATTTCTAACGCCTGGCGTGTCCTCCAGGGAGTAGACCAGCCCCAGCGAACTTGCCCAGCCCCACTAATGGACATCCTGTTTGTTTCCAGTCCTTTTTCTATATATATATATACATATAAATATGTAGAAAATGTCACAGCGAACCACATCCTCCCAACACACACATGTGTATCCACACAGGTTCACACACTCGCTGGGCTGCTGACCCATAGGAGCCAATTGTCTAGGAAGGTGGCGGTGACTGTAAAACCCGGGGATAAGCTCAGAAATCATCACAGTTGCAGACGTCTGGATGCTCCAAAGCACCCGAAGTGGGAGTTTGGGTGAAGGACCCTAGAATCTGCGTGTTTAGCAAACACCTCCCAGAGAAGAGGGACTCGTCGAGCTGAGAGGCTCTGGCAAAATAGTGGACGGTCCAGCTGTGTTTTCCAGCTGTATTTCCAGCTCGCAGGGCCCAGGGGTACACCCTGCCCTCCATCTCAGAGGCTCCCTTTTGTTCCATTCATGTGAGGCTCTGGAAACATTGGTGGGGGTGGTAAAAAGGACTCTGCACAGTGAAACGTAAGCAATAATGAAGCTGAAAAATCAATAAATGGGGAAATAGAGGCAAAGAGAAGCAACTGGACAAGGCTGAGATTCCACAGGGCCTGGTGTTGATGTGCGGCCAGGCTGAACTTGAACAGAGGGCTCCTAACTGTCAGGCCCCAAGTTTTCTGTTGCATGCTACACACCCCGGTCCCATCTCCTGTCAGTTAGCCAGCACTGATCCAGCCACCCACCCGGTGATCTGCCTACCAGCTCGTCCCTCCTCCTCCTCCTGTTCACTCTTCATGTCATCACGCAGCCCACCCTACCCATCCAAATCCATCCATCCATCTATCCCTCTAGCTCCCTGTCCACAGACCCTCACCCAACCACCCACCCCAACCTCCATGCAGGATTCGGAGCACTACCAAGTGCCGGGTGCCGTTCTAAGCGCTGGGGGCCCAGGATCCATGAGACAGACGGGTTCCTGCCCCAGGATCTCAGCGCCTACGGGAGAGAGTGAGTACAGATAGAGAATCACACACATCCAGACCCCGAACGGGGTCCTGGCCGTGAAGACCATGCAGAGGGTGGAAGCGAGCACGTGGAGGGCGAGGGAAGGCCTCTTTGGGTGAGGACCCTCTCCAGTGAGGGTTAGGTCGGGAGTAGGCAGGAACCTGAGGGAGAGGGGAGGGAAAGGCATTTGTTGACGAGGCAACAGCGTGGGCCGAGAGTTAGAGGCAGAAGAACAGCAAGCTGGGGGCTGGAGGAGCGGCCCTCCAAGAGGAGGGAGGGTGGGACGTGAGCAGGGCTGAGGCGTAGCTGTGAGCAAGGACATGCTGGCCAGGGAGGACAGAGCTGATGGGAGACCCAGCTACGGGGCGTGCGGGAGAGGGATGCTGAGAGGCCTGGCAGGCCTGGGGCAGGAGCCACAGAGCAGAGACCACCAGCCAGGAATCAGATTCCCAGGAAGCCATACAGAAGAGGCCCTGGGGAGCCGCAAGGCACCTCGAGGGACACGGTCTGCTTCCTGCCTCTCTCGCAGGAGAACCAGTCCCACGCGCGCACCCAGTCACAGCACTCTGCCAGCACCCCCAGCAGCTCCCAGCTCCCTGCCAGCCCCGGCCTGGCCCCTCCTCCCACTCACCAGCCACTCCTGCTCCACTAAGGGAGTCGTCCCCTGCCTCCCCCTACCCAGTTCATCAGAGGGCACCAAGCCTGCCATAAGGAGCCCTCTTGGGCCTCACCCAACCTGCAAGGGCTCCATTAAACTTCCAGGTCACTTCATTCGAAGCCTCCTCATTGCTTCCGCAATACCATGATGCTAATTATTGAGTGCCTACTGTGTGTACCAGGCCTTGGACTCGGCACTTTCCACTGTCCTTTCGTTCCAGTCTCTCCTCTCCCAGGCTGCCACCACCTGTAACTCTGGGGGGAGAAATCGAATCATATCCCCCTCTGCTCAGAATGCCACCTCTCCACAACCGCATCCACACACCACCTTCTAGAACCTCTCCTGCTTCTCCCCTCACTCCCAGCAGCCCCCAAGCGGCCTCCCTGCTGCTCCCCCACAGGGGAGGCCTGACCCCACCACAGGGCCTTTGCACGTGCTGGTCCCTGTCCCACTCTCCCTCCTCCTTCAGGCCTTCGCTTAAATACAGCCTCTCTCACTGAGGCCCTTCCTGACCTCTGCAGTTAAACACAGCATCACACACACAAGCGCACACACAAGGGCACACACCCTCACCAGCATTCCTTCTCTCCTTTTTTAATCAAAGTGTTTTTTTTTTATTTTTAAAAAATTATTTTGGCCACACTGCAAGGCTTTCAGGATCTTAGTTCCTTGACCAGGGATGAAACCAGGCCCTTGGCAATGAAAGCGTGGAGTCTCAGACCCTGAGCCAGCTGAGAATTCCCTCTCCTTCCTCTTCTGTGGACTTACCCGGTGGCTCAGGCAATGTGGGAGACCTGGGTTCGATCCCCGGGTCGGGAAGATCCCCTGGAGGAGGGCATGGCCACCCACTCCAGTGTTCTTGCCTGGAGAATCCCATGGACAGAGGAGTCTGGCGGGCTGCAGACTCTTCTTTATGTTTCTTCACAGCACTCACCATCTGACGGGCTGTATCTCCCAGCATGAGGCTGCAAACGCCATGAAGACACGGTCTGGGGCTATCTTGTTTTCTGCTGTATTCGGGGGCTTAGCCCAGGTTGTGCTCATTCCTGGAACACATCCTTGGCAGTCTTCTGTGTGCCGGACGCGGGGTCACAGACACAGCAGAGAACAATGGGGAAACGTGGAAAGCAGCATCAGAGGCTCTGGGCCCAAGACTTCCCAGTTGTGGGGCCTCCGAAGAACACGGGAGCCCTGAGGTTCAGCTGATCCCAGAGACTTGGGCCCCCCACCCCCACCCAATGCCATCCCGTCAGCTCCTCCAGGGACCCCGTGACACGCACAGCGTTGTTATTCTCTGGAAAACGCTGCGCTCCGTTACCAGATGGTCTGTGCTTCACAACAGATGCCAGTTAACCAGAAGCCGCCTCGATGGGGCCCTCAGTGACCAGAACTGGGTTTTGCTGTTGTTTGTTTTTCCCTTTGTTTCCGTGAGTTCATCTACCAGCCATTTACTTATTGGGCACCAAGTGTGTGGCTGTCATGGAGGATCGTGGATGCTCCACTTACAGACGGGACTAATGACTAATACACGGGGACTCAGCAGGAGAGACAGGCTAGAAAATGGGGAGGAGGTGGGAAGCCACTAGAAGACATGCCCACGGAGTGGGCTTTGGGTGGATGAGGCTGGTGAAAATGTACCATCACTTTTGAACCCAGGTTATACTTCCATAAAAGATTTACCTTTTAAAAAGTATAACAGGAGAAAAGAAAGGAAGGAAAAGACACTTTGTGAAAGTATAAGTCACTCAAATGTGTCTGACTCTTTGCGACCCCATGGACTATAGCCCACCAGGCTCCTCTGTCCATGGACCCCTTCAGACAAGAATACTTGAGTGGGGAGCCATGCCCATTTCCAAGGGGTCTTCCCAACCCAGGGATCAAACCCAAGTCTCCTGCATTGCAGGCGGATTCCTTACCATCCAGGCCACCAGGGAAGCCCCATGAGTGCTCTGTCTGTGTGTTGGCCACTCAGGCATGTGACTTTTTTTGATCCCGTGGACTATAGCCTGCCAGGCTCCTCTGTCCATGGACTTCTCCAGGCAAGAATACTAGAGTGCGTCGGGGATGAAACCTGGGTCTCCTGCATTGCAGGCAGATTCCTTACCATCTGAGCCACCACGGAAGCCCAAAAAGTGAAAGTGTCAGTAGTCGCTCAGCTGTGTCCGACTCTTTGCGACCCCATGGATGGCAGCCTGCCAGGCTCCTCTGTCCGTGGAATAAAAGGCACTTTGGCACACACTTTTTTTTTTGGCCATGCCACACAGCATGCAGGATCTTAGTTCCCCAACCGGGGATAGAACCCACACCCCCTGTAGTGGAAGCACAGACTATTAACCACTGGACTGCCAGGGAAGTCCACATTGGCACACAGATTGAAGTAATGCATAGACCAAGGTCTGGAAGTTTGCACCCCAAAATCATAAAACCCTCCAAGGAGGGTGAGGAAGAGATTGGCCCTGGGGCAGGTGAGCCTCATCAGAAATGTTTTCATGTCTTAAGAGGATGAATGTGTGTCTTACTAGCATCTTTTGAAATCTCAGTTTAAAAAGGCAAAGAGGTCACTCAGAGCATCAATGAGCAACTTGTATCTATTAAGCACCTACTGTGTGCTCCAGGGGCACATGGCTAGCCCTACCAAGCCCTAATCTTCCTGAGTTTCACCTTAGCTCAGCCACTGATGGCAGCTGGGAAGCAGAAGACGGAGTTCCTCTCCTGTCTCCCTGTAGCCTTGCACAAAGTACTACATCCCAGGTGAGGAAAACTGAGGTCAGCAAGGTTAGTGATGGTGACACCTACGCTCAAAGAATGTTCCTGAACGTCTAAGGAGAAACTCAGGTGAAAGTGCTCAGTGACCTCCCTGGATGCCACAAGCCCGGCTCCATGAAAATGAGGAGACTCCGGTTCTGAAACCACCGAGAATCTCAGGACGCAACAGCAGAGCATGAAACTGGGATATGCAGGCTGGGGAAGCCCATGCTGGTCTCACCTTCGCTTCGAGCTTCTCAAAACTCAGAGCGATTCATCCACGTGTACAGAGTGAAATAAGTCAGAAAGAGAAAAACAAACATTGCATATTAACACATATATAAGGAATCTAGAAAAATGGTACTGATGAACCTATTTGCAGGGCAAGAATAGAGACGCTGACATAGAGAACAGACGTGTGAACACATCAGGGGAAGCAGAGGGTAGGACAAGCTGAGAGGGTAGCATTGAAATATACATATATATATAACCATATATAAAATAGAGCTGCTGGGAAGTTACTTTATAACAGTGCTCCCCAGTAGCTCAGCTGGTAAAGAATCCACCTGCAATTGCAGGCGACCCCAGTTTGATTCCTGGGTCGGGAAGACCCCCTGGAGAAGGGACAGGCTACCCACTCCAGTATTCTTGGGCTTCCCTGGCGGCTCAGACGGTAAAGAATCCGCCTGCAATGTGAGAGACCTGGGTTCGATTCCTGGGTGGGGAAGAACCCCTGGAGGAGGGCATGGCAACCCACTCCAGTATTCTTGCCTGGAGAATCCCCTGGCGGGCTGCAGCCCATGGGTTCGCAGAGAGTCAGACACAGTGAGCGATTAAGCGTAGCACAGTGACGACCTAGGGGGGTGGGATGGAGGCAGGATGAGAGGGGGGTGGAAGGGAGGGGATGTGTGTGTATTCTTGACTGGTTGACATTGCTGTATGGCAAATACCAACACAGCACAGTAAAGCAATTATCCTCCGATTAAGAATAAATTTTTAGGAAAAAACCTCACAGTGGGAAATAAGTGAGTTTTCTGAGTAATCTTCAAAGCGGTCTGAATCAAGCTCCTTTCTCCAGAACTTTCCATCCCATGCCAGCTGCCTCACCACACTGGTGTTCCCAGGTCTAAGGGCAACACGGACTCCCTCCTTCCTGCAAGCAGCAATAACACCACCAACAACAGCGGCTATTATGATCGGGTGCTGGGACAGGCGGGCATTGTATCGAGATCTGCACACACTGAGCTCCCCGAGTCTGCTCATCGGTGCTCTGTTAGCTAGATGCTCTCATGGGCAGCCTCTGGAAGTGGTAACTGAGGCACAAAGTGGGGAGCTGCTTGGCCCAGGTCACATAAGCAGATGGGGGCAGAGCTGGGATTGGCACCAGAGCCCACACGCTGGCTCAGGAAGGAAGGCAAAGGCTGGCAGGACGCGGGTAGAGATTGGCAGGGCCGCCCCGGGCCAGAGAACCAGGCTCCCGGAATGGGAGTTGCAGGCGGGGCTGCCCTCTGTCCCATTGCCTCCCCTCCGCACTTGGAGCCCTGAGCCTGAGCTCTGGGCTGGAACAGCCTTTGCCAGGCAGAGGTTTCATCATCCGCTGCCAGGCCCCAGGGAGCCTGTGGGAGCCCAGCAGGGCTGTCCAGCCCGCTGAGTCCAGGCCAGAGCACTGGGTAAGGAACACACTCCTGGGCCCCCCAGACCCAGGTCCAAATCCTGCCTCTGCCACACACACCAGGCAAGGCTGTCTCCATCTCTGAGCTCTTCTGGATTTTTTTGGTTGTTGTTTTTCCTTTTGAACCTCAAGGACCAAAAAGGCCAAGTTATCTGAGCGGACTTCTCAGCTCACAATGGTGTCCTCATTGTCCACGCAAGGCTCCTCTCTGGTTTCATTTTTTATTCCCCTTAACCCCACTCTCCACTCCCTGCCCACCTCATTCTCCTATTTCTGATATATGTCTCTTTTTATTCTTTTACTATTGAGTTTAACTTACATAGGATAGCGTGCTGAAAAGGAACTTCTCTCAACAAATTTTTGTCCATGAATTTTTATCTCAGCACCTATTTATTTACCTATAAATGCATGTGACCACCACCCAGATTGAGACATAGAACTTTTGCAGCAGCCGGGAAGGCTGCTCCGTGCCCCTTTTCAGACGATACCTCTGCCCACAAAAGGAACCAATATTTTGCCTTCTAGATTTGTCTGACCAATTCTTGAACTTGGTATCGGAGGAATCACACACAGTACGTGGGCTTCTGTGTCTGCCTTGCTTCCCTCCACAAGATTCTTTCAAGATTCAGCCATAATGTGCATGAATCCACAGCTCACTCCATACCATTGCTGAAACATTCCATTTATAGGTGGATTACAATGCGTTGCTCTTCTCACTTGCTGAAAAACATCTGAGTTGTTTCCAGTTTGGGGCTCCTATGGGCAAAACTGCTGGGAATATGCTTACAGGTCTTTTTGTAGACATGTATTTTCATTTCTCTTGGGTATACTGAAGGTCAGCTGTTTTTATTTGTTTTTAAACTTATTTTGGTGTAACCTTTCAACTCATAAAAAATGACAAGAGCTACAGGGACTTTTCAGTCAAGCTATAACATCCTTTACCCAGATTGTTTATATTTTGTCCCACTTACTTTATCACTTCCCCTCTATTTATATTTCTCTCTTATCCTGAGTTATTTGAGAGCCAGTTGTGGACATTATTGTTTGGTCACTAAGTCGTAACCTCCTGGACTGTAGCCCGCCAGGCCCCTCTGTCCATGGGATTATCCAAGCAAGAATACTGGAGTGGGTTGCCATTTCCTCCTCCAGGGGATTTTCCTGACCCAGGGATGGAACCCATGTCTCCTGCGTCTTCTGCATTGGTAGGAGGATTCTTTACCACCATTTCACCAGGGAAACCCAGTTGTAGACATGATGTTCTTTTATTTCTAAACCCTCCAGCCATATCTTCTAACCCTCTCCCCTCCCCACCCACCCCGATTACACACCCAGTGCTACTATCAGATTCAGGACACAGAATCAATGCAGCATTACTGTCAAATCCACACAGCAATTCAATATGCTATAATCATCCTCAAAAAGTCTTTATGGTTCTTTTTTCTGGTCCAGAATGATTCCTAGCTTCCCTCAGTTGTATGGAGGCTCTTTCAATAGTTCCTCAGCTTCTCCCAGATGTTCTGGTCCTGCTTTTGAGGATGATAGGCTATCTCTTTTGTGATATGTCCTTCACTCTGGATTTGCTCGATGCTCCCTCCTAGTTAGATTCAGGTTATGCATCTTTGCAGGGAGATAATAGAAGTGATGCTGTATTCTTCCTGTGTGTCCTGTTAAGCAGCACACAATGTTGATTTGACCTATTGCTGGAAAATAAACATAATAAAAGTTCCCACCTCCTAGAGGTATTAAAAGGATTAAATGAGACACAACCTAAGGCCTGATTTTGTAATTATTATCTCTCTTGCCATTGGAGGGAGGGCCAGACATGGGCTAGAAGAACAAACACAGGGTTATCCCCACCCAGACCTGTCTCCTGGGCTCTAATCCTCACCTTACCTCTGCGAACTTGCAGCCAAGATGCACGGAGAGATGGGAGTACACGGGAGCCCAGGATTCTAGTCAGACCAGACTGGAGGCCCCTTTGTGCTAGTTCAGCCTGATGCCCTGAGGGATGGCACCCAAGGCCCTGAGTGTGCAGAGGACTTCTCCAATGTCACACGGCAAGCCAGTGGGGACTCAGGCCAGCCTCTGCTCCCTCCACACCAGGGGCCCCAACCCTGGGTGGTTTTGCCCCCTAAGGGACCCTTGGCAATGTCTGGAGACATTGTTGGTTGTCACAGCTGGGGACAGGGATGCTACTAGGCATCTAGTGGGTGGAGGCCAGGGATGCTGCAATACCCCAGACAGTGCCCCACAACAAAGAATGATCCTGCCTCACATGCCAATAGTGCCAAGGTTGAGAAACCCTGGTCCACACTCAACTCATGGCAGCAGGCACTGAGGGAGCCCTGGCCAGCTCACGCTGCCTGTTTTCTCCCGGGGCCCAACCAATGGCAAAGAAAGGGCAGTTAGGACCTTCAGCGACGTCTGGGCTTAAAAAGAGGAGTCCCCACCGTACAAATGAAGGTTTGCTGCCTGAGTCTGATTTTCCCCAAGTTCACAAAGGTTCAAGCTTCCCAGGTGGCATTAGTGATAAAGAATCCGCCTGCCAATGCAGGAGTTGTAAAAGACACGGGTTCTATCCCTGGGTCCAGAAAATCCCCTGGAGAAGGGAATGGCAACCCACTCCAGTATTCTTGCCTGGAGAATCCAATGGAGAGGAGCCTGGCGGGCTACAGTCCATGGGGTCACAAAGAGTCAGACACAACTTAGCATCTGAACAGCACACGGGTGCAGGTCGGTGCTGCTGGAGGTCTGAGGCTGTCACAGCCTCTGGAGAGCTGGGTGGTGGGGGCTTACGGGACATCAGGCAGGTGGGGGTGGTTACACCCTGAGATCATGTCGTCATTTCTGGGCTCTGATTTTATAGACTCTGAGGCTCCAGGTGGCTCTAGTTGTTGGCAGAAAGAGACAGTCAACCCTGACATGTAGCAGATTCTCAGTAAATGGTTTGTTGGCAAAATCAACTGTGATAATAATTGATCTTTATTGAACGGGTACTATGTGCACTGCTCTAAGCATTCTGCCCGTATCATCTCATTTAATGCCACCATGCCTAGGGACTATTACTGCCATTCCCATTTTGCAGAAGAAAAAACTGAGGCACAAAGAAGTTAAGTCACTTGTCCAAAGTCACAAGCTGTTAAAAGAAACATAAATGAATGAATGGATGAATGAATGAAATGAATACCCATCCCCACCTAGATTAGCACTTTTGCTTCAAACGTTACCGAATTGGAAGTCTGGTTACAACACTTCTTGGCCTCATAACAACCCCAGTTCAACACCCCTGACTCCCTGGTCCTCCCCCCTCACTGCCATGAGGGGCTGTGTCCCCAGAACTGAGCCTGAGGTAGAGACTTATGCCACAAAGATCTGGGGACCCTAATTTAAGGGGACCCTTTTGTTTATCAAGGGCTTACTTTCCACCAAGCCTCATGCTACGCAACAGTCAGGAATGTGAGAGACCCATCACACAGATGAGGAAACTGAGGCTCGAAGGGGAAGGTCATTTATTCCAGGCCAAACGTCTAAGTGAGAAACACCCAGTGACCCACACCCACCAGACTCGTGAGCCCCACGGGGAGTCAGAAAAAGAAAGGGCAGAGAGGAAAATCTGATAGCGGCCAGGGGACCATGGACAGCCCAACTCAGCTCAAACTAGTTTCCAGAGAAAACTTGTTCCCATCCTTCCTCCCTAGGTCCCCAGAGACTCGCCCCTCTCCAGATTATTTGAGAAATAACCCAATTGTATTGAGTTTATTTTTTTCCTCTCCTCCCCGAATAAAGTCAACAGTTACAGCAAAAAAAAAAAAAATCCCTTGATCAGTCTCGCCAAACTCCATCTCAGCATTCAGACAGTCCAACCTGCACAGAGACACATTCAATGACATCATTACGGTGTTTGTGGCTTTGGGGACTTGGAGGCCGTATCAGTGTCCATCATAAGGGAGAGGGCACATTAAAATGTGGCAGACACATCACAAGAATGGTATGCATCTGAGTAAAAGGCAATGAAGGGACCAGAGCTGCATGGGGACATCTCTAAAACATCGTCTGCCAGGAACAGATTGGATATGGTTGTCCACTGAAGTATCACCTGAGTTAGAGAAAGGCGGAAACAACTTAAATCTCCATCAAAAGAGGACAGGTTAAATGATTATGGTACATCCATGCAACAGAATACTGTGTGATCATTAAAAAGATCGAGACAGCTCTACAGTACTGATATGATACAGTGTTGAATGAAAAAAGCAAAGTACAGACCACAATGGCAAGCAATAAGATATGATGTGTAGTGTAAATGCCGTGTGCACGCTCCAGCTCACACAGACCATCTGATACAAGAAACACTGCTGGGAACTGCAGTGACCTCTGGGGAAGGGAACTGAGAGTGTGAGGGCTGAAATGGAAGGAAGACCAGCTCTTCACTGCAAACTCTTTCATATCTTTTGGAATTTTGAATAATGAGCATATGTTATATATTCAGATTAAATAAAAATTGAAAAGAAAAATGCATAAAGACCCTGAGGGAGTGGAACTGAAATCATCCACAAGAGAGGTGACAGTGCAAGGGCCAGAGCAGGGTAAGGAGGCATCCAAATGGGGCACGTCGCGGGGGTGGGGCGGGCGGTGTGCAGAGATAGGAAATTGGTGACCATCAAGTAAGGAGATATACTGAGGGTGATGGGAGCCAATTTTCTCCCTGTTGAAAAGAGAGTTCCCAATTTGGAAAAAGAGACAAACAGAATCAGTGGTGCGGTGCTGGAGTGGAACTAGAGTTATCAGTTGGAAACTCATAGTCTTCTCATAGATGATGGCCGATGATGATGATAGACAGGTGCAGAAATAGTGATAATATGTATGTAAATGTATGTCTATTTACATACATAAGTATGTAAATATACGTGTGTGTGTGTGTGTGTATTTATAGACACACAGCCCTAGGACAACCTGGGAGTAGACACACTCCAGCAGCGATAAGCATACTTCCTGCTAAGATATTGGCTTCTACTGTTCTCTAGGAAAAGGAGCCCAGGATCCTTGGAGAAATGGCTGATTCCAGGGCTGGAGCAGGAAAAGCGCTGGCTGAACCCGGAACACCTCCTGCTACAGGGCTAGGGAAGTGCTTAAAGAATGGTGGCAACTGTCAAAAGGGTAAGAAACTAACAAAAATAAATCAGTGATTGAAAGCTTGATGAGCAACAGGATAGTTACATGGCTTCAAAATTCCTCCCTTCAAACAGTTATCAATTACAACGGGGGAAAAAAAGTAACTTCACAGACATTCCTTGTGACAGATAATCTCTTCAAGTGACGGAAGTAAGCACCACCATCCTCACCACAAGGAAAAAAATGTTATAACCATGTGAGGGGAGGGGTGTTAACTAAACTTACTGTGGCGATCATTTTATAATATATGCATGTATCAAATCATTCTGTTGTACACCTTTAACTTCAGTTCAGTCGCTCAGGTGTGTCTGACTCTGCAACCCCACGGACTGCAGCACGCCAGGCTTCCCTGTCTGTCACCAACTTCCAGACTTTACTCAAACTCATGTCCATCAAGTTGGTGATGCCACCCAACCATCTCATCCTCTGTTGTCCCCTTCTCCTCCCACCTTCAATCTTTCCCAGCATCGGGGTCTTTTCCAATAAGTCAGCTCTTCGCATCAGGTGGCCAAAGCATTGGAGCTTCAGCTCCAGCATCAGTCCTTGCAATGAATATTCAGGGTTGATTTCCTTTAGGATTGACTGGTTGGATCTCCTTATAGTCCAAGGGACTCTTAAAAGTCTTCTCCAACACCACAGTTCAAAAGCATCAAACCTTTAACTGATATGATGCTATACATCAATCATTTCTCAGTAAAACCGGGGGCAAGGGGAGAGAGTAAACACCATCAACAATGGGACAAAGAAAAGAACACAGTATCACTACTGTGACTTACCTGCATGGTATGAAGATGCACGGCCTTATTCTAACCACAGGGAAACAAGGGACAATCCCAAGGTGTCGGATATGCTACAGAACAGCTGGCCAGTCAACCTCAAGAGAGTCAAGGTCATGAAAATCGAGAAAAGACTGAGGAGCTGTTCTAGACCAGAGGAGACTAAAGAGGCATGGCAGCTAAATCCAGCATGTGCTCTGAGCTGCATCCTTTTACTGTACATTATTAGGACAACTGGTGAAACCTGAATGGGTCTGAGGACCTGGCAGCAATGCAGAATGTTAATTTCCTAATTTTGATGGTTAGATTGTGGTTATACAGAAAATATCCTGTTTGTAGGAACTATATATATCAAAGTATCAAGGGATGATTAGGCAATAGGTCAACAATCAATTCTCAAATAATTTAGGGAAACAGTGTTTTTTTACCATATTTGTAACTTTTCTATAAACGCGAGATTTTTTTTCAAAGTAAAAAGTGCTATAGACTGAATGTTTACATCCTCCAAAATTCATGCGTGGAAATAACCCACTGTGAGGGTATTTAGAGTTAGGGTCTTGGGGAGATGATTAGGTCCCTTTAGAAAGGAGATTAGCACCTGTGAGGACCCAGCATCTAGGAATCAGGACCTCATCAGACACCAAAGCTGCCAGCAACTTGAACTTCTCAGCATCCAGAACTGTGAGAGAGAGATTTCTCCTGTTTAGAGGTCACTCAGCCTATGGTATTCTGTTATGGCAACCAAACTGACCAAGACAGAAAGTATTTTTAAAACAGAAAAAAAAAAAAAGGTAAGAAATGGAATAAGAACTAGGACTGAATATGACTACCAGGAATTAAAGCACTACTCAAAGCATTTCCTATGACTCAGCAAGGAACTGCTGGGTATATGCCCAACTGAAATATGCACATATGTTCACCAAAAGACATGTATTCTAGAATGTTCACCACAGCCTCAATTCTGAAGACCTAAAAGCTGAGAACAACCTCAATGCCCCTCAGCAATAAAATGGGTAAAGACATTGTGGTATTTGGTGTCCATGCAGTAACGAAAAGGAACAGACGCTAACACACACAGCAGCTTGGATCAATGCTGCAGTTACAGTACAGAAAGAAGTCAGACATATTGTGTGACCCCGTTTATATAAAGTGCAGAAGCAGGCAGAGTTAACATTTGCTGTTAGAGAGCGGGACGATGACTGCCGACAGGTGGTGGAGGTGACTAGACGGGGCTTCTGGAGTTCTGGGCAAGTCATCTGGGGATCTTGATGCTGGTTACACACGGCTCCACACAGGGGAAGTCCACTGAGCTGTGAACCTATGTTGTGTATACCTTCCCACATGTGTATATTTCACCAGGAAGAAAAGACATGAGACGATGAGATGCGTGACTAAGGATGGATATCAACCACATTAGTTGTGGGGGGGGGGGGGTGCCTTGAGAAGTGGGTAGAATGGATGCAGGGAGCCAGGATGGAGGCAGAAAATGAAACAAAATGCCCTGCAGAGCTTGAAGGAACTGATGGCAATCTCGTCCCAAGAACTGGGAGGCGTGCTTAGCGAATGTGCTACACTGGAGTTTGAAGAAGAAAGGAAGAAAAGACATCATCTGCGTGTCCCTCCCCAACCCGCAGGCAATCTTGACGACTGGCCCCATTAGGCACGAGAGGCCCGAGGCCTGGCTTAGGTAAGGCGGCCCGGGCGGCCCGACTCCTAGCCCAGTCCTCTCCCCTCCACAGCCTATCAACTCCCACCCACCGGTTTCTCTGGGGGGCTCGCCTCCTCCCCGGCCACCTCCCACCTCCAGGGCTCCACAGGCCAGGGCTCGTGAGGTAGGAGTCTGGGGACAGCTACAAAAATCCGAGCTCACCCGCCCAGCTCCCTGGCCCATAGACAGCTTGCAGAGACCCCAGCCTGGCCAGCCCCAGGCAGGCTGGCTGAGGTGCGTCTCAGCCCCAGCGGACCGCAGGCTCAGTGGGGCAGGTGGTGGTGGCAGCCAATCGGGGCAAAGGGGTGATCTGGGGTGGTGTGGGTGTCTGGTCCCAGCGCAGCTGCCAGCAGGCTCTGTGACCTACAGCCGGGGGTCTGGGCCTCTCCGTTTCCAAACCAAGGGCCTCCCCCAGTGGCTCATGTGGGGACAGTGTGGAGCAGGGTGTGAGCTCACTGGGGTCAGCAGAAGAGACTCCATCCCCTCCAAGATCCCTATTCAAGCCTATCCGAACAGGCGCTGAGATTCAGAGTCTCAGAGGAGGCACCTGAGCACAGGCAGAACACTTTCCTGACCAACTCCTTCGTGTGTTACTTCTGGAACTGAAATGAATCGAAAGAAATCCTGCCACCCCCTTGCTGTTGTTTAGTCGCTAAGTCATATCCAACATTTTTTGTGACCCCATGGACAGTAGCCCCGCCAGGCTCCTCTGTCCATAGGATTTCCCAGGCAAGAATACTGGAGCGGGTTGCCATTTCCTTCTCCAGGGGATCTTCCTGACTCAGGGATTGAACCCGTGTCTCCAGCATTAGCAGGGATTCTTTACCACTGAACCACCTAAGAAGCCCTACAATTTAGGAAAGTGCAGTTCATTCTATTCCAGTTATAAACCAATAAAGCTGTTAAAAGATAAAATCCATAAACATCTGGATCTCCCATTTCTTTGGGAAAATCAACCAACACTACATCAACACAACCATCTCCCACTTTCCATGTCTTGCAGTCAAATTTGCCACAGTAGCGCCTAACACTGGAGAACAATGAAGACCATGTCTACTTAAACACTGACCGGGTCACAAGACCTATCCAAGGCTACAGAGAATCAACTACATTGCATGGAAGTTCTTCTTCCTAAGCAAAGAGCAGCCTACTCGTGTTGAGCTCATGTGCAATAGAACATTCTCAGACAAGGAAGCACTGGGGCATCACTAAGAAATGCAGGTCACAAAACAGCCCACACAGGTTGATTCCGTTTTGGCAAACTTATCAGTTAGAAATAGATTCAGCTGCCGGTAACAGGAAGCCAAAATATCACGGACCTCCATAAGCACAGATTTATTTTCCAATCATGTAAACAAGTCCAGAGCAAGGCAGGCAAGGACTGGTGAGGTTGTTGCATTACCATCAAGAACCCAGATGCCTTTTGTCTTTTGGTTTCACCACTCTCAGCATATGTCTTCCAGGCGTCAATGTTCGCCTCATGTTCAAAATGGTCCTTGAAGCTCCAGCCATCACATCTGAGTTCTAGGCAGGAAGTAGAAAGAAATGGGAGTTGGAGGCAAAAGGGGAGATGTCTCACACCTGAGTCAGCCCATTTTAAGTCTTCCTGGAAACCTCACCCACGATCTCTGTTTATATCTTCCTGGTCATCCCTAGCTGCAAAAGAATCTGGGAAATGTAGTCTTAGTAAGGCCACTTGCCCCTAGTAATAGAGAGGTCCCACAGTTAAGGAAGAAAAGCAGGTGGTGCGTATCAAACAGACATTTGCTATACTGAAGAAAAAATACACATAGAACAAAAATTCTGGAAGAAAATACTGCATAGAGAAGTCTCTATCTACAATCACCCTGCACAAATTAACCTGTTAAAACTTTACAAAATGCTATAAAGAATATTATCCTCTTGTGACAGATGGGGAAACAGACACAGGGAAATACAGTCACTTGCTCCAAGTCACACAACCAGGAAATGGTGATTTCAGAACTAGAATTTTGTTGTTGTTCAGTCTCAAAGTCACATCCAACTCTTTGTGACCCCATGGACTGCAGCACGCCAGGCTCCTCTGTCTTCCACTATCTCCCACAGCTTGCTCAAATTCATGTCCGTTGAGTCAGTGATGCTATCTAACCATCTCATCCTCTGCCACCCCCTTCTCATTTTGCCTCCAATTTTTTCCAGCATCAGGGTCTTTTCCAGTGAGTTGACTCCTGGTCTCAGACGGCCAAAGTATTGGAGCTTCAGCTTCGGCATCTGTCCTTCCAATGAATATTAAGGGTTGATTTCCTTTAAGATTGACTGGTTAGTCAATTGACTGACTCCTTGCAGTCCAAGGGACTCTTAAGAGTTCTTCTCTAGCACCACAATTTGAAAGCATCAATTCTTCAGTGCTCAGTCTTCCTTATGGTCCAAATCTCACATCCATACATGACTACTGGAAAAACCATAGCTTTGACTAGATGGACCTTTGTCAGCCAAGTGGTATCTCTGCTTTTTAAAATACAATCTAGATTTCTCATAGCTTTTCTTCCAAGGAGCAAGTGTCTTTTAATTTCATGGCTGCTGTCACCATCCACAGTAATTTTGGAGCCTAAGAAAATAAAGTCCGTCACTGCTTCCACTTTTCCCCGTTCTATTTGCCATGAAATGATGGGACCAGATGCCATGACCTTAGTTTTCTTAATGTTGAGTTTCAAGCCAGCTTTTTCACTCTCCTCTTTCACCCTCATCAAGAGGCTCTTTAGTTCCTCTTCACTTTCTACCATAAGAGTGGTGTCATCTGCATACCTGAAGTTGTTGATATTTCTCCCCACAATCTTGATTCCAGCTGTGATTCATCCAGTCTGGCATTTTGCATGATATACTCTGCATATACATTAAATTAGCAGGGTGACAAAATACTGTCTTGTCATACTCCTTTCCCAATTTTGAACCAGTCAGTTGTTCCATATCCAGCTCTAACTTCTGCTTCTTGACCTGCATACATGTTTTTCAGGAGACAGGTAAGGGGGTCTGGGATTCCCTGGAGGCTCAGACGGTAAAGCATCTGCCTGCAATGTGGGAGACCTGGGTTTGAGACCTGGGTTGGGAAGATCCCCTGGAGAAAGGAAATGGCAACCCACTCCAGTACTCTTGCCTGGAAAATCCCATGGACGGAGGAGCCTGGCAGGCTACAGTCCATGAGGTTGCAAAGAGTCAGACGCGACTGAGCGACTTCACAAGGGGGTCTGGTACTCTGAACTAGAATAGAGGTGGTCAAATTCTAGCATCTGGGCTCTTCACCCACCGAGTCGGTAATGATGTTATAAATCACATCATTGTTATTGTTAGTGATGATGGCTATTTCTGACTGTGTGCTGGCACTGTTCTCTATATGCTGCGTGGATTAACTCATTTAACTCTCGCAACAACTTTACCTGACAGGTACTATTATGATTCCATTCTATATACAAGAAAACAGAGGCTCAGAGAGGTAAACTAAATCACCCAAGGCCACACAGCAAGTGTTAGAGGGTCTGTGTTTCCCGGCAGGAGAATGACGGGTGCTTTGTATTCCCTTCTCCTATAGACACCCTGTGTGCGCCAACCCTCCTCCCACGACCCATCACACGCTACTTAGGAAATCAAGGAAGAAAACACTCCTCCTGGAGTCCAGCTCTCGCCTCCCCTCTGACCGCCTACTGCCCCCGCCCCGGGCCGCTGGGAGGCCTGCCCCCCCCCGCGCCCCCCCAGTCAGCGCCCTCTCCCCTGCACTCCCCGCTTCCCAGAGAACTCTCCCTCTCTTGGCCGCCCGCCTCCGCTCCTCCCAGGCCCCACTCCTGGCATGGCCTTCGCCTCATTCCTGCTTGGTGAGCAGCTCCCCGTGGCTCCAGGCCCTGGGTCAGAGGCTCCGCACCAGCAAGGTCTCCCGGGCCCCGCAGGCAGCCTCCGTGCGCCCTTCACCCACTGCACGTCGCCTCACCCAGAGGCCGAGGGACACATCTCATCCCACTGACAAACTTGTCAAGAGCTTTTCAGGTGCCAGGCCCTGATGGGAACATCTAGCTGTCCATCCCCCGACAAGCCCTCTGAGCCTCACTCCACGGCCCTGCGTGAGGGACCCAGCCGCCCCTCCGCCTTCCCCTCTGGCTGCCTCGATGCCAGCCGTACGGGCTCCTCACTGCTTCCCTAACACACTGAGCCTGGTCCTGTCTCAGGGCCTTTGCACCTGCCGCTCCTTCTGCCTGGAATGCCCTGTAAAAACTCTCCCCGGCCACCCTCTACCACGTTCCCCAAGGTCTTCATCATGGTCTGAAATTAGCCCGCTAACCCATCAACCAGCTCCCCCACCAGGTCAGCCCCATGGGCACAGGCCGGCTGAATGCATGAACAAGAGCTGGTACTCTCTCTGCTCTCGGGGGAGGAGGCCCCAGCCCACACTGGTCGAGCATCTTGCTGGAGGTCACCCAGCAAATAAGGGACAAAACTCGGAGGCTTTTTTCTCCCCCTGCCTCTTACTCAAAGATGAGCTAAAGTGGGCAAAACCGAGGTCTGCCCATCTGTTTCCCCTCATACAGTAACTAACTCACCAGAAAGTGGCTTAGCCTGGGTCTCAGATAGACATGGATTCAAATTCTAACTTCACTGCTTTCTGGGCAAGTGATGTCCCTTCTCAAAGCATCAGGTCCCCACTCTTTGACACAGGACTCCTACCTCTTGGCCTCAGCGGGCTGGAGCCCCAGGAACCCTCCCGATTCCCCAGCCCTCCCTGGCCTCCATCACCCCACTATACGTGGCCATGGTCAATACAAGGTTGAACACCCCTAAGGAGGGGTGGCCAGCAAGCGAGCCGGCTGGGGCCACTGGGACTCCAGCATTGGTCACCCAGGTGGACAGCCAGGCTGAGAAAGGACTCAGTTGGGGGTGGGGGGTGCATGTCAGGAGAAGCAAGCGGAGCAGAGGAAAGGCCTGGGACCGGGAGAGGGAAGCAGCAGAAGGCTTCGTGCTGCCACTCCCCAGCCGTGGGGCCAGTGCCTTCGCCTCTCGGGGCCTGTCTGTCCAACTAGGGAAGGGGGTGTCACACAGCACCCGAGTCGTTGGATTACCGCGGATAAAAGGTTCACAAGGTGACATCTGGAGCAGGCGAGGGCTCCGAAAACCAAGGCTCTTCCCGCCCCCCGTGCCTCACCTGACTCGCCTCTGCGGATGCCTCCTCCGTGGACAGGCCTACCCGGACGCCCCCACGCCGCCCTGCCCTACTCGCCTTCCCTCCGAGCCCTTGTCCCCATCTGTCATTATCTTGTCCTTGCTGTCTGCTCTCTGTCCCCAAAACTCATCATCTCCATTTTGGGAATGTGTCCCCAGCACCCAGCATAGGGCCTGGCACAGAGCAAGCGCTCAGTAAATGCTTAAGGAATAAGTGAAAAAACATAATAATAACTGGTGTGTCAGAAACAGGGACAAAACAGTCCCAGAGAGGTCTAGATGGGATTTGGGGGGAGGACACATTAGGGGGAGGAATTTGGATGGGCAAGTCCCCCTTCTCTTTCCCATCCTGAATATCACGATCCTTAGCCGTGCAACCTTGGACAGGTCACCTCCCCTCTCAAGGCCGGCTTGATTGGCAGGAAAATGCCAATAACAAAAGCCAGGGCCTCCAAGAGGCTGATAAGCCACTACATGGTGAGCACAGGGTCCGGCACCCAGCAGTGTCTCCAGCTTCGATTTCTGACACTCACTTCTATCCCTGGTAAAAATCACCAGGCTGTGGGGCAACTGCCTAAGATTACAAGGCGTCAGTGTGTTCGGTCAACTCTCCTGTCCTAAGCAAACATTGGTCAGGGTTCCCAGCTAGCCTCAGTGATCAACCCCACTAAATGGGTCTACGGTTAACATGACCGGGCAGCTGGGAGAAACCAGCAAATCCATCTGGGCAAAGGTCGTGGCGTGTTGTCTTGCTCACTGTAAGTCCTGAGTGTGCATCCACTGTGATTCCTGCTCCCCGAGGCACACTCCTGGCCTCCTCCTGCTTCACCCCATCCTGTTCTCTCTCGTTTCCCAGCTTTTGAACAGACCCTCCCTCTTCCCTGCGAGCCTGCAGCCTGTCAATGCATATGCATAGGGTGGATGTCCCCCCATTTATGACATTTCCCCAAGTCCTCTGAGCACAGCTCTGTCCACGGTGCCCCCACGTGCCACCTGGAGCACCATCAGAGCCCTCAACCTGTTAACTATTTCTCCAAGCCCTCATCAGGGGCCGTCAGATGGGCTCGGGTTCAAACTCCTTTAATGCTGCTTCCAAACTGTGAAACCAAAAGCAAGTCACTTAGCCCCATCATTCCAGGTGCCTGAGGTGGGGGCAAGGATTCCTCCAGGCAGGGCCCAGGACTTGGGGTGGGGGCCGGGGTTACCAACCAGGCTCTCAGCCCCCAAGCTTTCCCCAGAGACTCCGGAGCCGAATTTGGCTAACTGGCTCCACCCTTGTTCCTCCTGAGCAGTAACCCCGCTGCCGTGGGCCTCAGTTTCCTTCTGTCAAACCACTGTGGCCCCTTCCCCGGGCGCTTATGTCGATTACAGGAGGGTCTGCGTGTGTGAAGGGCGACACACGACACTCAGCGTGCAGCGGCGCTCAGGACGCGGGGGCCTGGGGTCACTCTCGGCCCAGACTCCTCGCCCCACATGCATCCTCTGGTGAGAAGCGCAGCCGCCAGCCAACTCTCCACGACCAAGGAGTGGGGACTGCAGAGGTTCCCCCATCAGTGGCAACTCCCTCCCCCCACCCCCGACCCAAAGACTGAGCTACCTCACCCCCGAGGTCAGCCCCCCAGCCCGCTCTGCCCCTCAGCGGGGAAACCCCAGCAGCAGTTGAGCTGATGCGCTGGAGCTGGTACCGAATGGACTTGGATGTTGCAGGTCCCCATCAGTCTTCCGGCCGCCCGGGGCCCAGGTTACGTGCCCCCAGCGCCCAGGCCACAAACGGGGTTAGGGCGGTGGCATGTGCCTTGGTCCTCGGCTCCATAACAGTGGGGGCTGAGTGTCTGTTTCCCACGGGCTTCCACGGGAAGGGTGGTGGGAAACACCCAGGCCCCCAAAAGGCAAGGGAGAGGAAGCGCATTGCCCCTTCTCAAACCACAGTATCAGCAACTGCTCCCGAGATCCCAGGCTGTCCCAGGTCCCCAGCAAACTCATCTATGAAGCCCCCCATTCCACCCTCCCTCAACCCCTGAATTCCTAAAGCAGGGCTTCTCCCACAAACACATTTCTCACCCTTAGGGATGTGATAGCCAAAAGGCAGTTTCACAGCTCTGAAAGCAGGCCCCGTAATGGTAGCAACCTCTCCGACGGTGGCTGTGAGATTTAAACGAGATGGGCCAGTCCAGGGCTTACTGCACACTGGCCCCTGGCGATCGCTGGCCACACTCACGCCGCGCTGAAGATCCAAGTGCCAAATGCCAGGAGGCTCCCAGTGAAAAATAATAACAAGAGCAAACACTTATATAACACCTCCTGCATGCCAGGCACCGTGGGACGCTGTCCGGGTATCCACAAACCCCTCCGTCTACATCCTCAACTCTCAGGAATGCCATCCAGGGCTGGAATGGGGGTGGAGGAGCCGTCCATAGGGGCAGGCAGGAGTGTAGCAGGGGGCAGGGAAGACGCAGGCTTGCCCGGGGCCATTTCTGTCACAGGGAATCAGGGACAGCAGTCATGGGTTCACACCTGGGCTCAGCGTCCTTGAGCAGGTGAGCCTGGACGTCAGGGTCCATAGTAGGTACAAGCAGGACAAGTGGTACTAGGAAAAGGAGTGAACGTCTAGTAACCCTTCCCCCGCCCCCCCAACCTAGCCTGGATTCTCGATTCTCCCCTCCCTCTGGCCAGAATACACAAACAGGAGCTCACCCACACACCCAGGCTACTCTCTTAAAAACACACATGTGCGCACACACTTTTCTAGACACCCTGCCCCGCTTCACTTCTGAAACAGTCTGTTCCAATATGGGCTCAGTGGGACCAAGACCTGCACCCCTCCTCTTTCAGAGTCACAGTCCTGCGGGCTGGGTCCCCAAGCACTGTGCAGAGATCAGAGCCCGCCAGGCCCCTCCAAACCCAAGCCCAGCACTCAGGAGCAGCCAGAGGCCCTGCAGGCCCTCCCCAAGCAAGGCTCCTAGTCACTACTCCCCAGCACCCAGCAGCAGTGAGTCACCCTGAAAGCCTGACCCAGCACTCCTCTGCCCCTCCCCCGCGCCAGGCCTGATGCCCCCATCTCCAAGCGCAGGCCCTGGGGTGGGGGGCGGGGGG